AGCCTTCCCAGAATCCAGCTATGTCTTTCAAATATATAGCCCTGTCACAAGCATCAGCTTCCTGGCAGATACTTAACTGAACCCATCCTTCCTTTCTTGCCTGCTTCCCCCATATTTTCAGCTTTGCTGCTGCTTCCATTAACTCCTTCTTGCATGTTCTGAGCATACAAATTTTCCTAAGGCTAGGAAAGAGAGAAGAGCTTCTTTGTTGTATCATTCCTTTCTCTTTTGTTGTTGTACAAGTGGGGTCTGCCTGTATTATATGTGAACACAAAGTATGAAGAATCAGCAGTAAAATAAACAAACTAATTTCACAGAGGGGGCAAATTTGCCTGAAAAAATGAAAGAGGGTTTTTTCCCCCGTCTCCCATTTATACTATTTTTAGGGGATACATTTCCATGTAAATTATTGTGGATAGAAACTAGTTTTTCCAGTTGTCTGTGTCCTTTCTGACATGACCTCCATCCTGCTATCTTCTTTCCATCTCCACTTCTTTCCTGAAACAGGCCCATTCTCACAGAAAAGAAGGTGAAACAAAAAAAAATCCAGCATTGATTTCAGACCAATAGTAATATCAGGGAAATCAAACTTAGAGGAAGCATGCGCTAATAGACACAGATAGATCAATGGCTATATGCAAGTTGTTACTTTTCCATCAGTGCTGATTCCTGTAGCAAATATGCATTAGGGCTATGTGACTGTTTTTCAGCTGCTACCTTGTAATTGCATATGCCTCTCTTTCAGCCTGGAAATGTTTTGGGCCTTGACTTTAGCTAGTAACTCAGGCCTGAATTTCAGTGGGACTTGCACTCGTGATACTTCTGGATGTTACTTTCAGAGGCCATTTTTGCTAGCACTTCAGTGAATCCTTCAGCCCAAATCGCCTAGTTTCTATAGAAAGTGAGGCAGTAGGAACATGAAGAATGAGGTTTAAATATTTGTTATATCAGTTATAATATAATGGAATATATCAGTTATACTATCAGTTATAAATGCTACGTTGGCAGATGTGGTAACATGAGTTCAATTATTGAACTAATGAAAGGGAAATAAAACAAAATCCACACAACCTTGCAGGTTACCAAGACTATTTCACTTTCTATTTTAATAGATCCACCTCCAAAATAGTAAAAAGTACATTTATTACTTAGCAGTGTTTGCATCATGAGAATTAAAGTCTGCGGTACACTTTGAAAATGTATATATTTAAGCCTTTGAATAAAATAAAGAAGGAACAAATCATCTGTATTAACTGGGATAGCCGTGAAATATATTTGGTGAAAGTAAACAGGAAGGATTACATGCATACTTCCCAGTGGGCTTCTAAAGAAATAACTTCTACAAAATGTGTTCTTGACTTGATTTTACAAGTGTCTTTAGTGCTAGTCTTACAAAAATCCAAACGGTCAAGATGCTTACTAAAATTGTTTGATATAGTAGCATATAAATCTAAATCCCATGGAAGATGTGAATACCTACAAAGTAACCATAGGGTCAAAGAATAGGATAATTTAAAGACAATTGAAGAAATTCATGGGAGGAGAAATGAAGATGCCAATACACCTTTTGGCTAAGAAGTTCCTAAGTCACAGACTGCCAGAACCGGGAAGGCTGTAACACAGCAGTGTCACTCGGGTGTCATGTTTGTCTTGTTTCCATGCCATTTCTGAAGCAGCCCTTACTGGCAGCTCTGGGATTGCCTGCTAGCCTTCTTGGGGCTTCGCCCTGCCTGCCTCAGTATGGATGTTCTTACGTAACCTAAAGCAACCTGACAGTGTAAATACACTTGATGCCAATTTGTTCAGAGTGAATGGCTGAATACCACAGGGTCAAGAATTTCAGGTAATTTACTGCCATTTGTCATGCTAGGGAAGTGAAAGGAAACAGACATTTCTATAGATAATAAACTCTCAAGTTGTGTTGTGGGCTGAACTGTAGAGGATGCATTTTCTTTTAGAAGCACCGAAGTCTCCAGGTCTGATATTTTCTGAAATGAAGCACTTAGAGGGCTAGAAGCAATTAGGTTGTATACAAGAAATACTGCTTATCACTGGAATAAGAACCATCATGAACTGGCATACTCGGTAGTCCATTCTGTAAGTTAAATGAATCCTAGGTGTGATACACTGTCCAAATAGATGTGTCATTATTCTGTAAGAAATGCTACATCCTTTAAATGAATTGAAAAGCGAAATCACCTGACACTGGGGCAGAACATAACAGCAGTTATTTAACAGGTTGAAACAACCCCAATTGAATCACTTGTGCTTATCTCCTTTGATGTAAGTATCCCAGCCACTGTAAGAGCAGATGTCAGTAACTGTGGATTAAGGGGACTATTATTAAAAGAGCATGATGGTCTCCTGAAATCAGTTGCTTACTGTTTAAATAAAATGAGTAATACTGAAAGTAGTCATTCTCAAGTTGAATTTGTCGCTTTTTAGTCAAAGAACCTTGGAAAAATACTGAAGGATAAGAGTCTCCTGAACTCGTTCTTGACCACATACTTCTCATGCCAGGATAAGTAGCTATGCTTGAATCATATGACAGCAGGTTTCTAAGATTACAGAGAATGTAATGGATTTTTGGTGGGCTGGATAGAGGGTGTGGAAAAAAAAGCCAAGAAAACAGGAAGAAATTGTATTCAAGACTGATTAGAACATAATTTTTTTTCAGTGAAATTTGGAAAAAAATTAAAAATTCATTTTAGATAAACTTAAAATAATGTATGAACTCTTTTTTTTTTTAATTTCCAGGACTTTAAAAACATTTTACCTGCAATTATTATGGTAAAATCCTAATAAAAGAAAAAAAAAGCCTCAATGAAGTTAAAAGGTTTCATTTTTAAAATGTTCAGATGAAACGTTTCAGGGCTGAGATACTTAATTTCAAACATGTCAAATGAAATATGTTGACATTTACAAGATCCCCTCTCTCCCTAAACTAGTCTTTCCCCCAAACTATTAGTGAACTCAGTGTGGTTGAAGATAGGTTCATCTTCTCTGAAGCTATTTTTGCAGGAGTATGTCTCGCAGGTATATTCTTCTTTCTTACTGCAGATGCAATCCAGCTTCTTAAGAGCCTAATATTTTGCTGCACTCTGTGTGACCTTAATGAAGGAAAATTTTAGAATTCACCTGCAAGTTACCAAGAATAGAGACACCATCTACTGCCTGCTAAATCTGCAAATTGGCACTTAGAGCAATAAGATCTACAGCTTTAGCTGATGCGGGGAGTTTGATAGGGTGATGGTTTTGTTTCTACTGTAACACATGGCAAGCCCACCCTCGCACGTCCAATTAGGAGCCCGACTGTGTGGCAGCCTCTGTTGTAATCCTGGTACCACTTTCTGGGGAAGTGGTTGCTCTGCCTCTGCCAGCTGGTGAGAGTCATACCCGCCTTGGTGTGGCCAGGCGGCTGTTTGATGCTCCTTCCCTTATGAACTGAGGGCACGCATCCAATTCTCCAAAAAGAAGCCAATTTGAGAAGGCTTCTAAGGTAGAAAGTAGAGCTTTCAGCTAGACGGAAACATTGTTCAGCTAGAAATGTCATCGGAGATCTCGGTTAGTGAGGGGCCAGGCTTGAGATTTCAGAGGATGTTGAGCTACAAAGCCAAAGCTTGCAGGCCCTGTAAAGCTTTGATTCTTGCATTGTCCCACTGCCTCCTCTGCCATAATCTGCCAGGCAAAAAAAAAATTAACCTTTAAATCAATCTCACAGATCATTGCAGCAGAACTGGCAGTGAAATTTGCTTGGCAGCAAGAGTTCTAAGAGCAAACAGTGGGGCTTTTAGTTATTATTTAGCTGGGTTGTTTATTTCTTTATTTACACTGATGGAGAATATGTGGATGTGGCATTTTGAATTAACACATAGTCATTTTCTAAAGATTAGAAAAGAAGGACATGTGGATATTTTTCATGCTGTGTTAGTAAGAGGGATAAATGAGGTCATGCACACCTTATAACAATGCCACAGTGGGGTAGAACCTTAAATAAGATGAAGAAGGTAGTTCTTCCTAGCGGGAAGGAAGTAGCACCATGACCAGAGAGGGTGTTTTGCAACACAAATGTCAAAATTTATCAGAACTCAAAACTACTGATAAGGTAGGTATATTAACTGGCTATTGCCATTGTTCTGCTTGTAATTTGCCTTGTTGTCTACATCTCCTTTATTAATTATTAGATGAATAGGAACTTAGTGGATTATGCATTAGAGTGCTCCCTAGTCGACTGGGATGGGCTTGCTGTAGTTTTCTAGATGGTCTGTTATTATGGTTAGGGCAGTAGGAGATTTGTTGTTGGACTTGTATTGGGAAATGTCGATGTCTAATAAAAAAGGAAATTAAATAGTGGGCAAGAAAATTAATTATGACTGTTAGTGCTAATTGATAAAACAAGACTTTCAGAAGCTATTTCAGCTGTAGACATCAGGTGATGCTTCATTAAATACCACAGCCTTTAGAAGTAGTATGATGGCATAATCACTTAAAAAATCCCATGCTGATTAAAAATTTGCTTTGCTGCGCTGTAGTGAGCTCACTTCAGAAATACAGTAGTTCAAATCACATTAGAGCTATTGTCATTTTAAAAATAATCTGTCCTTTTCATTTGTATACATCTGACTCCATATTTGTTTTTTTTAACATGCTGCTATTTTTCAGTTTATTCAGAGCATATGCAAAGCAGTGTATTTCTGTGTGTGCACCTCAAGTTACTTCAGTCTCTGCATAGCTGAAGAGATCTCCTTCTGATAGAACCAATTAGAATTTGTCTCCACCAGAAAAAAAAAAAGATTATGAAAACATAGTTTTGTCAGAATTATAGCTGTATTTTGGTGTGCCAGAAAACCCTTCAGTTGAATTGTATCACCAAAATGGCCAGGAAAGCAACAAATCAGAAATGTAGATATTCCAAATAGCCATAAATACATGAAAAAAAAAAACTATTTTACAGAATCTTTTTTATGAAATGGAATACTTATATATGTTTGAATTTCCAGACGGCTACCCTAAAGAGGAAATGATTTACAGATGGAGAAAAAATTCAGTCGAGGCTGCTGACCAGAAGTCTTGGAGACTCTATCAGTTTGACTTTATGGGTCTTAGAAACACTTCAGAAATTGTGAAGACCTCTGCAGGTAAGCATGACATAAATGGTATTGTTTCATTTGAAAAATTAAGCATTTCAAAATATGTTCTTCAAGTTTACTTTTGTTCAAGTTTAGTTTTACTGCAATGTGTTCATATGAAAACTTCTAAAGTGCAGACTCCAGAACTATTGACTTTATCTGATTTTGGAAAACTTCTTTTTTTCTCTACTCTCCTTGTAATTTAACAAACTGAGGAGTAACGTTGACATAACTCTTTGTAATATACTTGAAGTTACTACTTGATTCTTGTTCCTCATTTAATTGTATTAAGCCATCCTCCACTGAGACTTATGTTTTGATCATAAATTGAAAAGAAAGATTTTGAGCTGCAACAGTATTGATTACTGTTGCCTTAGCCAGAGCAGTGTGGTAGGGCTAACGAAGCTGGACACTTTCATGAGGAGTTAATTGTTCAGCTACAGGTTTAGTATTTTTCTTAGTATTTCAAAGGCACTGTCTCTCAGTTTATAAATGCCTTTGCCGTTGACCTTTCTAGCTGATTGTTATTAGAATCTAATGATATCTATTTTATTTCTTTAGAAGTCTTGTTCTTCACTGTAATAATAGCAACATAGGGGAAAAGATGTATAAATAGCATACATTATTTAAATTGAAAAGTTACACATTATGTGATATAAAAAGTACGTGAAGCACTTAATAGATAAATTGTCATAAAGTTCAAACAATAGGTAAACATTATACATGACTCTGAAGTAAAATTCCATGATTATTCTGTCTCTGAAGTAAGCTCCATGACCACAGACTGCTAGAAGCAATCTTCTGCTTTACTATTAACTGGTGGTGAATTTTTGAAAAATCCAATTTTTTTTTTGCAAGATTTATGCAGAGCTATGTTATTATTTCAGAAACACAGTGAATAAAAAAAAAAAATTTACTAATCTCTGAAACTGCTGCTGTTGGGTTATGGCCCACCCACTAACATTAGTGATGTAATCTGAGGACTGGATGGCAATTTTTTTAGTAAAGTGCCTCTAAAGCTTTAGTGAGTCTTTTGGGTTTGTAGCTGATCAGAGGAAAGTACTGCGAACAGAGCACATGGAAAAGTTCTCTTTTGTTATGGATACAAATCCTTGTAGTCTGTAAGTTTCTCAGGAATGCAAGTTTCTAAGGAATGCCCATGAAAATTTGTTCACCTGAGTTAAACATAAGTTGAACCAGGAGTTGGTGGATAAAAGTAAAGTAGAAAATACCAAATTAATCAAGTATCTGTGTATGCAGGCATGCCACTCATCAGGAAGGATGGCAAGAATATGAGAGAAAATCCTGCTCTTCCTACTGTGCTCATATCCTGAGTGCTGCCACCTTGATTTTTTGTCAAAAACTGCTAAATACATGCGCAAGAAGAATTACGCAGTCAGCCATACTGAGATGCTGACAGTGTCCCTGTAAAATAGATCAATTAACCTCTTCCTTTGCATAGGACAAAACCAGCTCTATGGATGTCTTTTTGAAGTTGGTAAATGGTTAATGAGGATCAAGGAGAGAAAATATTTCCTGTGCTCTTTTTAGTATGTGCCAAGTTCCTATTAAGATGAGTTAGCTGACAGTATGCTTTTCCTCCTGTTGCCATTACTGCTTCTATCCACCTATGTCTGTGAGTGCAAAACCTAACAGCATCATTAAAGTATAGCTACTGAAGCCAGCAAGACATTTGTATTCTCCTAAAGGCATCCCAGTGGCAAATGGTTGTTGGCAAAACGGAGTTTATCCAAACAATGAATGGAAAAGCTATCAAGAGGCTGTGGAAATTACCTTAAAGAAACAACATAAAATGAATAGGTCAGACAGTCACTGGTGTTATTAGGTAGAAAAATGAGCTGTGCATATGGCCGCTTTATTCTGGCCAGCAGATGGCTGAGAAGGGGCTCTCTAGGAGTCAGCAAATATATTAAAGACGTGAAAAATAAAAACCTGAGTTTGTACATGAATGTGAATTTGCTTAGAACAGACCCTCTGACTGTCTTTGTAGTATATTTTAAGGTACTTTCAAGGCCCGGTATACTGAACAACCACATTATTTACTGTCAAGAGCAAGCCTAGGGGCAGGGCAAAGGAAAACCAACAGGTGCATTGAAAAAGCTTAAGCAATCTCCATGCTGTAGAGCAAGGACTACCAAAATGGAGGGAATTATCTAAGATAATTCTGCTATCTCTTCCTGTGAGCACATAGGTATGTGTGAACAGGCAGGATAAAAGGGCAGCTGTGCTGTGGCACATGCCAAACTGTTAGCAGAAAGATAGCGCTATCCAAACAGTTTGAGAATTCCTGCCCTAGGGTGCACCGAAGGCTGTTGCTTCCCACATTGAGGACAATGTTTGATGAAGGGAGCCTGCCTCTGTTACCTACATGTGTCCCATCTCCTTTGCCACAGAGCTAAGGGCAGTCAAAAACAAGATGCTAGGTTCTGTCATGGCAGGTCTGTGGCGTATCTACTCAAAAGCTACAGGGACGGGGAGACTGCCCCTAAGACACTCTGGGTATGAATATGGGCAGCCAACGTCTAGGAACATGCCACCTCCAGGCTGCTCCCCAAACTGGCTATTTCCCAGCAGCTAGCCTCAAGTTGGGTATGGAGCCTCTCTGAGCCACCTGGGAGTCCATAAAGGCCCACCAGCCTCAATCCTTTTGCAGACTTTGGACAGAGAGAAAGAGCAGCATTATTTAGAGTGCTACACAGGGAATAATTCAGAGTAATGAGATGGAGTAAAGCAGAGAAAAGCCGGCAGAATATCAACAGAAGCTTCCTGACAAAGGGAAGTACTAAACTATCATCTGTTCATCCCAAGGGAAATTATGGAAACTACCATTATACAGGACATTTAAAAGTAGACTAGACAAAGTATGAGAAAATGTACTGGAGGGAACAGTCCTGCACTAGCAGGAGATAGATTCAATAACCTAATGTCTTTTTTACTTCTAATATATACCTTTCTGCTGTTTTATGACACTATTACCTCTCACTAAAGTGTGTGTTCATCTGTAATATGAGAGCTGCCACGGTGTTACCTCCCTGTATGCTATTCAAATATGCCTTTTTTAGCTCCTTTTCGGCGGTATTTCAGTTATAATGAAGACAGCTCACACTGACCACACAGTAACACGCTGCTGTTCTTCCGGCATGTGCGTAAACCATTTCTGGGTAGTCATTTTCACCATGAAATGGCCAGATTATGTACACAGCAGAGTTCTGCTATTTGATATTCTTTCAGTCTTTCCAAATCTTTTTTTAGGTATCTAAATAACCTTTATACTAATCTAAGGCAATTTCAGAAGCATACAAGTAGGAAGCCAGCTGTCGCAAAGCCAGTATTTCTGGATCTAAGCAATATGAGAACATCTCCTACTTTATGCAAGTGGTGACTTGTTCTCTCAAGAAGGCTAACCTCTGTTAAAATAATCTAGCAGCCAAAGAAAGTTTTTTGTAGCCATCAGGAAGAGGTAGTCAACTTTTTCTTTGGAGCACTTTTTAAATTTCATGCCAAAAACATAACTAGATAAATATCTATTATATATGGTAAGAACATGAAATACACAGCAGAGGTCATGTGCTGGTTTTGAGGTCATGTGCTTTTCAGTTTCAGTCTGTAGCCTAAGTAAGCTCTTGCTCTCAGGTGATATCAAACTAATTCACAAGTAGGGAAGAAATGGTATATTGCCATCTAGCATGATACTAGGTGCCACTTTTCTTGCTATAATGTCAAGTAAGGCTGAAAAAGGTAATTAACATAGAGGGAATGCTCCTAAGCTGCCTGGGATTGAGCTGTGAAAAATAGAGGAACTGCATATGAGGTAAAAAATCTGAAATTTTAAAATTGTAAATAAGCCAAGGGAAGGGTGATCAGGAAGAAGGGAGAGAGGGATAGAGAATTTCATCCTCAAAAGTACTCTGTATGTTTTTGCAGTAGACTTCAGGTTTCTGAATCCCAGTCTTTCCAAGTATAGTTGGGCAAAGAAAAGCAGAAACATGAAACATGAGGGAATCCATGAGCAAAACTCATGGAGAGAGCTGTAGTGTTGTTTAGCACTTTTCTGCTAACATCTGCCCCAGGGGAAGCCTATTCATTCTTTTTAAACCCACTCCACTTTTTACACTGCTAGCTAAACACAAAGACCTTGTAGCTACTGAATCTAATTTTCATTTACTTGAGAACGTCTTCACATCATACAAGTTCTATTTATGTTCTTATTCAGATGCCTTTAGCCCGAGAGATTTGTGCAGTCCAAAGAAGCCTTTACATAAATAAGTTCAAGATAATTCATTAGAAAAACAAAACCTCATAAAAGTGCCCTATTTATAATCTTTAATAAATGATAAATGACAATTAAAAATGAAATATACAGAACTGGACAACAAGTATCATTTCACACATTCTGAACAACCCCCTAAGTACCAATACCCATTCCCAAATAAATAGCCACAATTGCTGCCATAAAAAATACACCTTTTTATACGTTGGATAGGAGATGATTAGTAGAGTGTGCCTGCCATACAGCTTCCAAATTCTGCTTTATATTTTGAAATTGCTATCTCAGCAAGTGCCTCAGCTGTCAGCCTTATATCGCAGGGCTGCAAAGCAAGGTCGGTATCCGTTGTCACTGATTCAGATGGAAGCTCTTTGGGACAACGTGTTGTCTGATGCTAGTAACAACACATTTTAAAAAATATACTCTGTTGCAGGGGATTCGGTACCTGACAAGTAAAAAAACAACCCACAGCAAAAACAAGAAAGCAAGTGTTTGTAGGGAGAACATGTATTTTAGGAATATGCAAAGACCTACATAAATAGCTTTGGGCAGGAGAAGGGAAGGAATAGACATGTTTTTATAAGGAGGTCTGATTTCACTGGAGGAACCCCTCCCACCCCAGGTCAAGGGATGGATCAGAGGCAGGCAGACACAAGCAGATGAACCTCAGCTTTGTCACAAGACTAACGTGCTCCCTGAGGTTTATCCACCACACTGAAGA